GGGCGGGGGTGGGGGTGCTGTGGTGGTGCTGTTGGAAGAAACCAAAAGCAGATGGGAGTTGAGATGCCGGGGATGGGACCTGTGGCCGCAGCCGGCAGGGTTATCCCCCTGCCAGAGCCAGCTGGGTGCCAGGGGGGCACTGGCCATGGGCACCTCACCCCGTCCTGGGCGCTCCATCTCCTCCTTCCCGGGGAGATGCTTCAGGACCTGGGGATCCAGAGGGTGACAGGCAGAGCGTGACTGACAGGCAGGACGTGACTGACAGCGGGGTGACAAGCTGCCACGGGGATGCCATGGGGCATGGGGATCCCGTGGTGCTGGGGGGCGCAGATGGTGGAGGGCATCACCAAACAGCCCCCCACTAAAACACCTGGGGTCCCTTGCCCAGCATGGGGTTCCAGAGAGCCGTGGAGGCAACGTGGTACACACCAGAGCCTGGGCGATGGGGGGGAAGGCCTGAGCCCCCCCCCCTCTCCGTGGGGCACCCCCTGGTCCCAGCCCCACAGCCCCCATGGGCAGAGGGGGGGGAGCAGCTCGGGCCTTTTGCCAGGCATGGGAGCGGGGGGAGCCATCTCTGTGGGGAGGGAACTTGGATGGGAGACGGTTTCATGTCAGAAACGTTTTCACAGGAATTTGTCACCACCTACAAACATCTCTTTTTTTTTTTTCCCCCTTTTTTTTTTTTTTTTTCCCTTTAACAGCAACCAGACCCGAGGGGTGCGTGTGTGCGGGTGCGATGGGGAAATGGGGGCTGGGTTTTTTGTTTTTTTTTTTTTCGCTCCAGTTCCTTGGAAAAAATTATTTGGTGCTCATTCCCCTCCTCCAAAGCCTGGTTTGGGGAAAAAAAACCCTGCTTCCTGCAGCAGGAAAAGCCGGACAAGAGAGGGACCACATTTCCCTCAGCCTATCCCACCGTGGTCCCCACAGGTTTCACCCTATCCTGGGCACCCTAAAACATCTGTGGGCTCTGGAGGCTGCATAAAATCCCCTGCCCCCCAAACTCCATCCCTCTCCCTGGCCCGAAGGGGGGTGGGATGCTCCTGCAGCATCATTAGCACTCGTCTAGCCACCGCCGCGGCGGTTTGAACCCATTTGAAATGCACTTGAAAAGGGCGGATTTGATGGGAGGAATGTGACGGGTTTTTGTTCTCCGAGCCCCCCGGTTGAAGATGTGCGTAATGAAGAGCTGTGACTTTCACTCGGGTTATTTTGGGATGGACTACTTTTTTTTCCCCGAGCTGGTGGAAGACCATCAAAGCGGCGCTTTGAAAAATGTCCCAGTGTATAAATAACTCTGCTGAGAGCAGAGTAACGCGGGCTCCCGCGCGCCGAGACGAGGCAGACGGCATCTGCCGCGCGACGTTGCATTATAAAAAGGAATTATTCATCCCTTCCTCTAATTAACCGGGTACCGCTCCCTCATGCGGGAGGGATGGCCTGGCACGGGGAGCGCTCCCGGCCGTGCCAGCCGAGC